AGTCGAAACATGTTTTGCTAAAACCTCGCTCACAGAGGTAATTCGGTGTCCCGATTACGAGTATAGCACTCGTTTTCGGCGCTGGCGCCAAATTGGCGCCGATTGACGCCGCTACCTTGCTCACCAAATTCGGTTGGAATAGTAGAGTTATTTAATGACTGATCACGAACACAGAATTAGTTTTCAGCCCTGACGCCATCTGGCGTCGTTAGGCGCTAAATTGCGCTACGCCCTTTTTAGCAAAATCGATAAGAACCTGCATAATCGGGTTGTTTGATGCCCTGTTACGAATATGACATTTATTTTCAGACGTCAGCGCCGTTTGGCGCTTTTACTAAGGCTGGTAGAAAGAGTGATTTCCTTCAGGTCAGGCTCAGCCTTAGCAGAGCGCAGATGATCGCAGCGTCTTCCATCAGCGCCAGCGCCAAAAATGAATGTGATATTTGTAATCAAGATGTCAAATAACGTCCGTGTGCAAGTTTTCAGCGGAATAGGTGCCTAGGGTATTCTGGCGCAGGCGCCAGGCGGTTTCAGGCCGAGCGGATGTGATGTTTGTAATCAAAATGTCAAATAACCTCCGTATACAAGTTTTCAGCGGATTTGCTGAGCTAGGGTACCCTGGCGCCTGTGTCGCGGGCGCCAGGCAGTTTCGGGCAAAGCTGATGTGATATTCGTGTTCAGGAGGATGAATTACCCCTGGAATTTTCAGCCAAATCTGCCCTGTAGAAGGAAGTCGATCAAGATCATCCTGTTTTCGAAAAATTGGTGCAGTAGTAATTAAATAGTGCCGAATTTCTTATCGTATTCACTTTTTTGAGGATCTTCTCTCTGGTTAAGAATTCCTATAAAAGAACTTCATGAGAGACACAACGAAAGGAACGCCTGGGAATGTCAGGATTAAGTTGAAAGCATTGACTATTCAGGATTCGGGAGTCAAATCAAATCGATTCGAGAATGTAGTAATCGAGTCACTAAATCACTATCAGAAGTCGTTCGGACAGAAAAAATCGACTGAGTCGACATGATCAGAGTAACCAGAAGGCCTTCCCTTGAATTCATTGTGGGGACATGCCTCCCTCAAGCTAGCGGTCAGCACCAAGGTAAAGCTATGAAGGAAAGCATATTGGGTAAAAAGGGTGACAAAGTTCAACGCAACATAATGGTCGTACAGAGCTTTCAGAAATTGGCCTTTTCGAATTGTATTAGCTTCCGCTCATGGTATATGTTACATTGTAGACCTATTGTATTATTCCTGCTCAGTATTTTTACTCCTCCTCTTACAAAACTATCGCAATGGCATCAGGGCATAGTATTACGTTCTGTTGATTTTGGATAAGCAGACCTCCTTCACAGCGTATTTCCTCAAATATTATAGTGACGCCTAGTACTTTCTGAAAAGAGGGGAGGGCGAGAAACAGGAAAGAGTCTAAAAAAGAAGGTCATTGATTGGAGTAATAAACTGAATCCTTTTTCTGTAAGTATTACAGTTGCACGGCTTAACAAAACTCTCTCACTCTCTACTAAATACAAAAAGTAATTATATCAATAAAATATACACAGAAACCGTATACTTCTTGGTTGCTGATTGCTAGACAGTAGAACAGCAACTACCAGGTAACGATGAGAGAGGAGCAAGGTCATGCATACGCCGCGAAAGCCGACGGAGGTGTCGTATTTGGCTCCCTACGGACGGGTGAGGAGGCCGGGGGCAGGGCACATCACTGGATGGGGATTTTGGTTGAGTCCGTACGCCCCCCCCCCGATTTTCCCGACATTCCTAGTTTCTCCTAAAACATTTGCTAAAAATACTGCACATGAAGGAAAAACCACAAGACCACGAAAATCAGCAACCTCTCCAACCTTTCCCACCAGAAGGCCAGAAGTGAAATACGACCCCTACCCCCCCCCTTCCCTCTGCCCCAGCGACCAATTACGACCTCTTGTTGGGGAATGCCCAACAGTGGTGTGCCCTAGGGGGAGGTCGTATTTTATCGTATTTTACTTCATTTACAGGATCAGTACTTTAGATAGCAGGAAATTGCTTGTTGGATGAGTGCTGCGCTCGGGAAGGAACTAGAGAACATGGTGTATTCTATGGAGGTTACGGACATTGCTGCAGTTCCTGCTCACTACACGAGGACTAGAGTACGGGGAGGCTACTCAAGCTTTATGGATGATAATTTGGGCTCTGTTCGGGAGATCCTGATGTCGACTGCTGAAGCTGACTTTCTTATGGAAATACGCGACGTGCCAAGACGTTGTCCACATTAAGAAGAGAAAGCCTTTTAGTTTCCATCGCCAAGTAGGACTTCCTTCTAGGTTATGCTCCGAATTTGTTTACGTTAAAGACAGCTCCCGCGATAAAAGTGTCAAGGATAATTGCTGATCAATTATGAAACAGTAGCTGATAAGTAATTCCTCAAATAGGGAAAAAAGCAATAAGAGCCATCCTGACGGTCTGTGGGCAACCCCTGGCTCACAAATCGCTTTATCGCATTTCCCAGTAGTGGACAACATCCAATTCAAAGAAAAGAATACGAAAAAACAAAGACACGAACGAAAAACACTTAAAAAAGGAAAAATTCAAAAACTTGGCGTCCGAATTTGGGGTTACGTGCAGTGTGCAGCTTTTAGTGCATGTCGAGCTTTTGCACCACAAAAATTGCATCACTCGTGATTTTTACGCGTTTTACCTTGCGAGATGGGTTGCAGTTGACTGTATGTGCTCCCAATGAATAAAATGTAATAAAGGAGAGCAGAATTACTCATGGCACGAGCGCGGTCAGCAAAAAGTACATGCAGTTCCGATTAATGCCCGCCGTCCCAACAAAGAACAACTGAGCGGCTCTCCGTCAGAGGGCATCTAGCAAGTGGGCGGTCCAACTGGGCGGGCGTTAGAACTAGAACTTTGAGCGGCTGTAGCTCGCTCTCGCTCACTGTGGAGTCGCGAGAGTGGGACAGTATCTAGCTTGGGGGCTGAACTACCTGCACAAGGAAGGACGACCATGTACTACTCGAGCGCGGGGGCTGTCTTAAAACGTGAAGGAGTCGCGTTTGCTCAAAATTCTTCGCGTCATTTCCTGGCCAGAAGCCGCCATGCAAGAGCTCGATGAAACTTGTAATGTGTTTCATATAGAGCTGACTTGGAATATTAGACCAATTGGTTGGTGATAAATCATAAGAAGCTTCTTCACAAGTTGTGGCAGTTGGGAATCGATGGCCCCATCCTTAATTGGATAGGTTCCTATTTGGAAGATAGGCATATGTGCGTTAGAGTAGGTGATTGCTTTTCACGCAGTTTTTCTTGCACTAGTGGGGTTCCTCAAGGAGGAGTGTTGTCACCTTTGTTGTTCTTGGCGTACACTTACGACTTACCTCGTTATCTTGACACTCATCCATTGGTTAAAATTAAGATTTATGCTGACGACATAAAAATATATGGCGTTTATGACAGGGATAATCATGACTGCGTGCACCGAGCGCTAACCCAGTCTATATGTAACATTATGGAGTGGGCTGTTGCTTGGGGGATACCTGTGAACTTTTCAAAAACGTTTGTTCTTCATATGGGAGAAGCCAGGGTTGTACCGTACACGGTTAACGGAAAGTCAATTAGTATTTCTGATGAAGTTCGGGACCTCGGGTTCCTAGTGAATTCCACTTTAGATTTTTCTCATCACATTGACACCATCGTTCGGAAAGCATTCACAACCCTTTTTGCCATACTCAGGAATATTCGACAAAATGATCCTTCAATCTTGTTGAAGCTCTATAAGGCTTATGTTGTCCCCATTCTTGAATATGGTTCACAAATATGGAACCCCCACACCAAGAAACTGCAAGCGAAAATCGAGAAGGTCCAGCAAACTTTTACCAGAATTTTGATGTATAGATGCTACCCTGACCCCTCATACCCAGTTAGCTTACCCAGTTATAGGGAACGCTTACAGCTTTTCAATCTCAAATCATTAATGTACAGGAGGGTGTTCAATGATATTGTGTTTTTGTTTTCAGATATGAAAGGAGAGCTAAGATTGAAACCCAGTAAGTACTGGGTGTTCAGACCGGCGAACGGCCGCATCTCTTCGCTGTCCTTACAATGTCATAAATTATACGGAAGGCACCGAACACAGGTTTTTAACTCACTATTTGCCCGAGGAGCGAGATGGATTCAGTCCCTGCCATCGGACCTGCAGGAGGCGCCTAGCATTTATGCGTTGAAGTAAATTGAGGAAGTGGAACTCAATGAATGATAGGCATTGCCCAACGATTTCTAGATGATTCTAAGCTTCGAATGGTTCTTTATTACCCGTGGTTTTTTTGCAGTTATTTTTTTTGTTTTTTTCATTTCATATACTACTTGGATGTTTTTACCTGTAAACTATGGTTCTTGCTGACATTGTGGCGCACCTTAGCGTGCATGATAAATAAATCAATAAATAAATAAATAAATAAATAAGTTCCCATGACTTAGACATATATCGTCCTGAGTGCCCCGAACCACATAAATTCGAATTTAGACATTATTTCCGCCTGTTTATCTTTCGCTTACTTAAACATGAATAAGATGAATACCACAGTCAGAACCTGTTATTTATGGCAGCATTTACTTTCATCACAGTAATGAATCAACACTCTCACAAGTTGTTTTGAATTAGTTTGATGAGAGAATTGTCAACTGTCGTGTGCATAGCGTGCTACAACTCCACGCTACAACTCCACTCTTCTAGGATTGCAGCAGAATTTTTGGCACTATTCAAGTATTACTACATCAAAAAGTCGAAACATGTTTTGCTAACCTCGCTCACAGGAGTAATTCGGTGTCCCGATTACGAGTATAGCACTCGTTTTCGGCGCTGGCGCCAAATTGGCGCCCATTGACGCCGCTACCTTGCTCGCCAAATTCGGTGAGATTAGTAGGGTATCTATTTAACACACGTTGACGACATCCTGAGCCACCGGTGGCTCATGAGTGAGTGGCCACGTGGGACAACCTGAGCCACCGGTGGCTCATGACTTTCTCCATCACTTCCTGAGTCATTGCCGGCAGTCTCAATCGATCTTTTTCATGCTTTCGAGTAAGCTGTGGAGGGTGAGTTTCCAACAAGGATGAGCAAGAAAAATGTCTTTACTGCGCGCTATGAGCATAATTTGAATTGAAAATTGAAATTTTTCAACTAGCTATTGCTGCGGCAGAAACCTCCAAAATAGTTCTTTTTGGACGAAACCTTGGCTGCAGGGACTACGTGGGTCTGTGAACATGAACGTGAGATCTCATTCGTCATTGGCGCCATATGGCGCCAGTAGGCGCCATTTGGCGCTAGCAGTCTTTTTGGCACCGAATTCGATAGAAACCTCCATAGCTAGTTTTTTCGAGATCCTTGTCACAAATATATCGTTGCTTTCCAGTGTTGCCGCCACCTGGCGCCAGCGGGCGCCACTTTGGCGCCAGCGATCCTTGGCACCAAATTGGATACAAACTCGAACATCTGGGTTATTTGGCATCCTCGCCACGAATGTATCATTCTTTCTCAGCAAACGCCGTTTGGTGATCTTGGGATGGTAATAAATGATAAAATATGGGTAGTTGAAACAAAATATGGTAAATTAGTAATAAAAAATTGGTAGAAATCGATCTATAGTAGGCGGGGGGCTAAGTGTGCAGAGCCTTATGCATCTTTGTGCCACTTGCTTGTCTGTGAGCAATATGTGAAGAGTGTGTTTGGAAGCGTCAACGTTGAGATAAGGTATAAGAATTAACATAAAACAAACTTATTAAAATGGGCGTGGCCGGCTATGTGTCGGTGTCGCCATCCATGAATCATTGTAATGTGTGAAAAGCAGAAAAATCCAGGAATTCTTAGAAAAGGAAGTTATGGAACACATTTTGGAAATCACCATGCGCGCTAAAAAGTGGGCGTGATCGTAAAGGGCAGGGCATGAGATGGCATCCAATAGGGTCAAATATGGTTGAAATAGCAGTCCCAACACGATTGACTTATCATTTTGCGAAATTTGACATAGCGGCAAAAAAGTGGTCCACGAGGGACAACATGAGCCACCGGTGGCTCAGGCCGGACGCATGCGAAAGCACGCCACTGTACCACGCAGCGCTTTCCCGCAAAACGCGATTCTCGTCAACGTGTTAACGAACTGATCACGAACACCGAATTAGTTCTCAGCCCTGACGCAATTTGGCGTCGTTAGGCGCTTGTACAAGGCTGGTAGAAAGAGTGATTCTCTTCAGGTCAGGCTCAGCTTTAGCAGAGCGCAGGTGATCGCAGCGTCTTCCATCAGAGCTAGCGCCCAAAATGAATGTGATATTTGTAATCAAAATGTCAAATAACGTCCGTGTGCAAGTTTCCAGCGGAATAGGTGCCTAGGGTACTTTGGCGCAGGCGCCAGGCGGTTTCAGGCCGAGCGGATGTGATGTTTGTAATCAAAATGTCAAATAACCTCCGGATACAAGTTTTGAGCGGATTTGCTGAAGCTAGGAGTACCTTTGGCGCCGACGCATGCGCTCCCGATTAATGCCCGCCGTCCCAACAAAGAACAACTGAGCGGCTCTCCGTCAGAGGGCATCTAGCAAGTGGGCGGTCCAACTGGGCGGGCGTTAGAACTAGAACTTTGAGCGGCTGTAGCTCGCTCCTCGCTCACTGTGGAGTCGCGAGAGTGGGACAGTATCTAGCTTGGGGGCTGAACTTCCTGCACAAGGAAGGACGACCATGTACTACTCGAGCGCGGGGGCTGTCTTTAAAACGTGAAGGAGTCGCGTTTGCTCAAAATTCTTCGCGTCATTTCCTGGCCAGAAGCCGCCATGCAAGAGCTCGATGAAACTTGTAATGTGTTTCGTATAGAGCTGACCATGCAACGTGGATCGTGTTTACCGCTAAGCGAAAGATGGTCTCTAAACGAAGTTATACCTTTTCAAGTCTCTAAACGAAGTTATACCTTTTCAACACATTCCGGACCGCCATTGTGCGAGGAGCTCTGCATAATTTCGTTACCTTTCGGAACGATAATCAGCAATTTCATCTCTTTCTTCCACTTTTCTATGATATCTTTGTATACTGTGCCTACTCTGATAACTTCGAAGCATGAATAAGATGCCAGGTGGACCGTATGAAACAGCGCAGAGAGAAAAAAGTATGACACACATGTGTGTCACGCGGTCCGGAACGTGGAAAAATACTTATGAACGCAACGGTCCGATAGCGCTTCATTCTCAATTCACAACTCACAATCAGCCGCAGTACGCTCAGCAAACTACTTCTGAGAAACCAATCGCTTCAAATTTCACTGCTTTCGTTTGATTGGTTTGGTAAATGTTCCTAGACACTCATTGTCAGATGCTCATTCGGTAAAAATAGAAAAACACATAAATGTACAGCTGCATCCTAGCAAACAGAGCAGATACCTCCATACACTTCACTGCCACTAAAGTAAGGGCGGGGGGAGGAGGGAAGGTGGTACACACTCTTTCCAGGGAGTGAACCAACCCCCCCCGCCCCCGGTTTTCGGACGTGATGCTTCACCCTCGAGAGGAGCAGTCCAAACGAAGAGGATGAAGGGCAAAAAACTCAGAGATAGCAGTCGGAACATTTCTGACGAAAATCCCCTCCGCCAGCGCACATTATATAGTGTATATAATATAGTCTTTTCGCGCCGTTACTGATGACGTTTGACTCCGTACGCCTTCTATCAGCAATATTTTACTCGTCTAAAGACCTCGTATAGCGAGAAACTTTCCCTCGTTGGGGCAAAAACACGTTTGACCCTCCTGCACTACAAACGGATGGGATGTTACCTCGGTGGGATTCTGCTGAAAAGAGCGCCCAAAACGGAAAAAGCCAACAGTCACAAAATATTCTCACGTGCACTACGAATCCGCTCCCATTGGCCAATTACGAAAACTTCCTTTGCATTTTCGCGATGAGCATTGAGTCTTGAATCACATCGTTCCACGTTTGAAAGTCTCCGAAACAATATCGGACGACTTTTAGGGACAACATGAGTTACTGTTTTGTTCTTAACATCTCATTAGAAGCTCGGCAGTAATCCGCTGTGCGGTGACACTGTGCCAAGCGCATCGTTCACGCCCCACAAGCGGGGACATCAACACAAGGCTACGTTTATCTATTTCAAATGCTTGTGCGTTTTGACAAAAATTAAAACGATAAACCGTTCTCTACCCTTGATCAATCCTTCTTTGAGATAGGGCACGATTCCACTTCTTTTAAAAAAAAAACGTAGGGCTTATTGAATGCGATGTGGCCCATACATCGTCAGGGGTGGGTCAGCCGAAATACACACCAGTGCTCTTATCCTCCCGGACGAATCTGGTACCATGTTACTGTCTCCGGAAGGTAGAAGGTCTGGTTGGTCTAGACCCACAATACACCACCTCCGCCCTAAACTGCTACAGCAGTGCCGATCACTTCCTGCTGTGGGGTAAAATTCTTGGGAAACACGATCTTCTCTCGCAATTTCGCCCTCTTCTACGATCCCTCCAACTTCCCATCCTGCGTAGTGTCTTCCCTCTCTTGCCAGCCTTTCCGACCTCCCTACCCACATTTCCCACATTTATCGAAATTTCCCAAACTTTCCAGTTTTTCAGAAAAATTTCACCGTCGAGAGGGGCCACTGACAGCGACACCTCCCTCGCTGGAGATCCCCCATGTAGGACGGATGCACTTGTGCTTATATCCCAGGCGCTTCCACACTGAAAACGCTCCATAACGCGCTTCCCTGTTTAGCCGCATGCCACTCGCCTCATTTTCGTGCGAGTTTTGAGAAAATCGCTGCCTTTTTGGGAGCTCGCCGCGCTAAAAAAATTCTTCCCCCGTATGAAGAGGTTACTAAAAACGCAAAATACTTTTTCTAATCGGTGGGCGATGTACTTGTCGCATCTTCAAGTTTACGGCTCACAGAGTTGCCTGCAAAATCTATTTTGACACCTAGCATAATCTGATCTCACTACTTCCAGTTTCAGAATGTCAAATTACAGAGATCGACCCATTCTACGCGATTTTTCTTTCATTGTCGTCGCTGTTTACTATAGTTGTCGCATGCTTGGCTGTGCTTCAACTTTACTACGTCTACAAATATGTTAGTAATGCACGAATACAGGCCGATCTCTATTATTTAGCACTGATGTTTCCGGTAAGTGTTCGGAACTCTGTCAGTGTACCTCAACTAACTATCAACTAATTCGCAGATTACTACTGTATGCAACATGGCGGGAATGTACATACCCAGGGCAGCGCCGTTTCTGTATGCTGTTGCCCTTGTGTGAGTTATGGGAGGAAGATCTTTTCGGTTTATTTGATGTTTCGCAATTCACGTTTTCAGATATTTCATGTTCTGTCTTTTCATTGTCGTGTCCTTGCTATTCAACATCTTTGGAAGTCGCAAGGAAATGTCCGACTATTTGCTAGAGAGGTAACGTGACCCTTACTATGGGAAACTTGATTATCTGTTGTACCGCCAGTAGTTCAGCAACCATCTGCACCACCCTGCTAGAGTAACCACTTCAATCATGGTTTCAGTTCAAAGCTCACAAAGGTAACATGTACCACCGCGCATTCCGCTCTCGTAATGACGTGATAGTCGTACGTCGTGTTGTCGTCTCCGGTATTGCTCGCTCTGCTTGTCCGGCCATAAAGAGCAAGAAACTTATCTTGCGTAGTCGAGCAATTGACATATACAATAGTAGTCTGAGGGAAAATGTGATGAAAGGCTAATAGCTTTTGCTGCGATCAATCTCTTTGTGGGATGCAGCATGCATTCTACTTCATTCAGAATCGTAGTGGCTTTGGCATGTGATAGTGGATTTGGATGTGATGTGCACCTCTACAATGACTTGCGGTGGCCAGCCGATGTACAAGTCAGTGTTTTATCCTCCCAGACGAATCTGGTACCAATTTACCGTCCCGGAGGGTAGAAGGCTTGGTTGGCCTGAGGCGGGAGTCGACTAGGGATACGAACCAAGGACAGCCAGTAGTAGGCGCGCATTGCCCGCCTCCCCTAGATGGAAATGATATAAGGGACAGATGGCAAGGTTTCCGTCGTTGATAATTCCCCTTTTGGGATGCAGCTCGCATTCTAGGTCATTCAAGACATTATTGGCTTATGAGTGCGATGGTGCCCTATACAGTGACTTGCTGGGGCCAGCTGATGTACAAGTCAGTGTTCACCTCAGAATAGATGCCGATTCACCGTCCGGAAGGTAGAAGGTCTATTTGTCGTGGGAAAACGCGGAGCCCGGATTTGACAACCAAATTCGTGGTGTCATTTTGCACGCTGGCGAGCGTGCAAAATCCACCCCACTCGCCATAAAAGTATAGGTCGGAAGGAAAGTCTTGTCACTGTTGTGACTTTTTCTCTTTTTATTTTCCAACTCAATATACAGTGGGAATTAGTCAACAATATACTCGTCATAGTTAGCCACTACAGCGCTCCACCCAATAGGACAGGTAAGCATTTTCCCCTCCTCCCAGAACTGAGAATGCTGCGAGTAGGGTAAGTCAGGACCCTCTCGACTGATGTCGCAGGTAGCAATCGTAGGGACTACGTCTGGAGAATGTTATGAGCGGGGACTGGTCTTCCAGCCTTGCTCCTCAATTATTTGGTAGGTCTTCATAGCAGGTATGGGGTCTCATGTGCTACGAACGAGGTGACCCGAAGCAAGTCTCGGTCATTTTTCTCCAACAATTTTCACTCGTTTCGGGCTTGATCGACACAAAATGGTGGCGGTGACCGTCTGCTCTCTTATGGGGCAGCTCTTTCAGCAGCACCTCCTCGCGTCCCAGGAGCAGCACAGGAGAACCTTTTCGGAATACATGCCCGGTTTGGACTGCTAGAATGGATCTTCTCCTTGAGAGAGACAAACGGTACTGTGTGGGTTGAAATCATAGAGGACCCATCTCTCATCCCCACTAAGCAGTCTCCCGGAAACTCCTTCTGACGAGGGCAGAGAAGGGGAGACTGACAAGGGGTACCCGGGTGCACAGCGTGCCATCGGTCAAGGTATGAATGATCCATCAAGCCAGTACTTCTTGGTAGTCAAAGGCTTACAGGCGGTGGACGACTGTCAGTTAGGTACATCCGAGTCTTGTCGCAAGACTGCGGGTGGTAGCTCTGGATCCCCTTGTCTGCTTCGAGAATGGTGGAGTCTTATACTTCTTGGGGCCGTCCCAACCAAGGTTTGTCTTCGAGGATCGAGTCTCTTTTCGCGAAGCGAGCGAACTAAAAGTAAACGATCCTGACGGTAGTGGTGTCCTCCCTCAATGCACTGCTGATGTTAGGGACAGCTGCCGTGGCTCCAGTGCCGCGGGGCCACTGATAGAAGATGATGACCCGAAGATACTCCTGTGAAACTGACATCGTAATTAAACCCAGGGAAGAGCAGGCGCCCTCACACGCCTCTTGCAGGAAAGCTCCCAGAGTGTCCTACAAGCATAGCATGTTACGTCATGTACGAGCATCGAGAATCAAAAACTGTAAGCTTTTCAAAAAACACTGACAGGACTTTCCTTCCAACCTATAATAGTGAACCTTCATGGCGCTTTATTGAATGAGTTCCATGCGTGTTACGCAGGTGCAAGCATACCGCGCTGAGACACCGCTTGAGCCGCTGCAGCGTAGAGAACATCGAAACAGCAAAAAGGTAACTTTCATTCGATCTACCTAGTTCGCTTCCCCTTAGTATGAACCTGGCTCGAATAAAAACAATACCAGTGCGACATTTCAAGTGAAGATATTAAAACATTCAAACATCTTCATAAGGTTTGGATCGCATAATTGTTCATTCTCGTTTCAGGAATATAAATATCTGCCTTCGTGTTCCTCCACTGTGCTGTGTGAAAATACTTCCGGACATTCCGAGCACAGAGTACGTTATCGACTGGTTTCTGAAATCACATTGTGAAAAGGAATTTTATGTGTGCCTTCTTACGAAGAGTGAAGTTTGAGTATAAGGTGAAGCACAAAGCAGCTGCTGGGAGTGGCGCAGTTCTGAGACTTTAGGATAGTCACCGAGGAGGAAATGTAATATTTAGGCTTGGGAATTCTTTTTGTTCAAGTGATACACCCTCTACCATTGTGGCAAAGCAGTTTACTCTCTATGATTCCTGATACTTGGTCAGATACGTCCGTTCAATTCCTCCCACGCTTCCCCACTCGACGAAATTTTGGTGGCGGGGCGAAGGGCTAGGAAGGAGAGCGAAGAAATCGTATTGAGAAAACATAGGACTGTGTTGATGGATTGACCACTTTTCGTGAACACCTTTTTAATCTAGTTCTATTTAGTCGAAATCTTCCAACGTGTAGAATGGCTAGTATTCCAAACACCTATCCTTCGTACGACGTTCGAGCTCACCAGTGTAGTCGTATTCATGGAACTTGGACATCGGCATAATTTGTGAGTTTGCACTTCAACAAAAAAAGCATCCTCACGAATGATGTGCCTTAAAGGTTGGCACGATAAGTCCTTAAGTCGAACAGGATTGATATGCCTGGCAAGACGGAATTCCGCTCCGCTAAGCAGGCGCTGCAGAGCGCTTTTCCCAAGGAAGGTACCGTTATGAGGCTTTATCAAACCGCAACATGCCGACCCGTACGCCTACCTCGCCCGCCCGCCCACAAATGGACGACCGTACCTGATGCTCGTATTGCTTCATTTGCGAAGTAAAATATGAAGCGAAGGGATTGACATGAAGCGGCCGCGGTGCTGCATGGATATATGAGCACATACGTGCAGCCGTATCTACCGTAGCGGTCACTGGAAAGATGCTAAGAGGAAACTCGTCCAAAATCGTCTTTCCGAGCTAAGAACGGAGGCTTTTCTTTGCAAGTTTTTGACTGTTTCACTTCATTTTTTCGCTTTCCTCACTATATAGCATCCTGCTAGCGTTTTAGACCGAGTACCTTAGATACGATAGTTTACTCGGTCTAAAATGCTAACAGGGTACTGTAGAGTGGGGGAATGGCGAAAGATCGAGGTTAAACGATCGAGAACCTTCAAAAAAGGACTTTGCTCTACAAGACTTGGAAGGCAATTTCAAACGAGATGGCTGTACCGACCCGTTGGCATCGGGTCGGTATAGCCATTTCGCTAGATGCGGCTGCACGTATGTATGTACTCATATATCCATGCAGCACCGCAGGCGCTTCATATCAATCCTTCGCTTCATATTTTACTTCGCAAATGAAGCAATACGAGCATCAGGTTTGGTTGTCCATTTGTGGGAGGGCGGGCGTGTTTGGCGTTCGGGTCATCATGTTGTCAGGCGTATCAATCCTACTCGTGTTAGAAGTTTATTGCGCCAGCTGCGATTAGGCAATGACTTTACATTCCACTGAGCCCAAATGCCTTTATTTCTAAACGAGCACACGTCCAGCTGCCACGCCAGCAGCTCGTGCAATGGCTCGGAGTGTACCGAATGGTTGTCTTATATATGCTGTTATCACAATCAAAACATTGGATTGATACATCCGCACCAATCGGTTACCGGTTTGTCTAGCGGTCGTTTTCTCCTCCCGCTAACTCAAACCCGTGAAGCATCTTGCGACGACATACATAC